ATACTGGTTTTGTTACTGAGCCTCTTGGTTCCCAGTTTGGTAACAAAACCATATTCTCCAAGAACTGGATACTGCTGCTCTGAGTGGATGAACGTGTTCCCTAAAAGGGAAGCAAACTCACAGATTTCCTCACTAGCTCAGGCAGTATTTAAACCTAAAAAATACCCATCTAAATAATTAGCTAAATCTCAGTATTAACAATTAAATGTGCTTGTTTCTAGGCCTTCCTTAGCCCGGAGAATCCTGAGGAGCCCTACCTGGAAGGCATTGGCTTTCACTGCGTGGCTCCGGGCAAGCGCTTTATGCCGATGGACAGTCTGTCAGGAGGGGAGAAGACAGTGGCAGCCCTGGCCCTTGTGTTTGCTGTACACAGGTAAAATAACTGTTCTGGGACTGTCCAGAGGAAAAAGAGTTAGGGTATTCTCCAAGTATCTGGCCAAATAGGTGCTAGAAAGACAGTATTATGCTTATACACATGTTAAAAGTTCAGCTAATGGAGTGTTCAAGCATTGCTGAAGTCCTTATTCTTTATCTGTCATGACTTTATATATTCAGTGTAGAATTTCATGTTAATTTAAAATATTGTTAATTTCTTGTCTATTATTTAATATTGAATATTAAATTATATTAATTACAATAAAAGAATAATAATATTGTAAAATACTATCACCCTTATCTATGGAGTAAGTAATTAGAATGTTGATTAACGTGTTGGTATCTCACTGCAAAATACTGTCTTGTCTTCTACAGCTTTCGTCCAGCTCCTTTTTTTATTTTGGATGAGATAGATGCTGCACTGGACAACACAAACATTGATAAAGTAAGTTGCTCTTTTACATCTGGTACCTTTTGTAGAACTGTGGCTACTTCCATTGCAGGGTGTTGGGATACAGAGATTGTTTAGCCTGACTGAATCTGTTTTAAATTAGATTGGCTTTAGGGATGAAGTAATGAGTCTTATGAGATACAGGAAACATTTAAATTCCTTAATCCAAGTGTGTTTGATTGGTCTCTAAATTGTGAAGGTGGGAGGAGGTGGTGATGAGTGTGAAGGTGTGCAGGTGTGTTGTGTAACCCCATGTGGCACAGTGTGACCTGTAGGGCACCTGGGAATTGTGCTGCTTGGAATTGGTAAGGCATTGGAGTTCCCTTGGCTCCAGTAAGTACCCAGGAGTGTGTCTGCATGTGGAAACCAAGTCAGTCTGCCACTGGAGTGTTTAATTTAATTGGCTTAATAACTATTTTATTAAGCTGTTGCTCCAGTAATTTTAGTCACATGACTTTTCTTGATTAAAACAAGAAATTAATTTGTCTTTCCCTTTTTGCCAATAACTGTTCAATGTAACAAGAACTGAGGCTGGAGCATAAACAGCAGAGATTGCAGCTGTGGATGGCAGCCCCTGGAAGAAGGGGGAGGCTCAGAACAGGGGGATTTTTGGTAGGGAGGAATCCTAAAGCTACCACATATGCCTAGATTTTCTTCTGTGGAAGCATTCTTTTTCAGAACAGTATTTCTACTAACATTACTGCCAATGTCAGTCTTGGTAGAGCCTAACAAACAAAAGCAGTTGTTTAAACACCAAATATTTTGCTTTTTCCCCTGATAGAAGTGTGCAGGCAGAGAGCTCATTAAAAAGGTGCTGGTTTTCCTTTATGGAGCATTTAATTAATATTGGGGGAAATTGCAACTCACCAGTTAATAACTAAAATTTTGTACCTTTAAGTTGCATTATCATTGAGAAACTTGCTGCTGTCTGCACTGAACTAATTTAAGGTTATTACACAGCCAGTAGCAAACTTTTCACACTTTTTTTAAAAGTTATTTAGGGATTTCCACCTTCCTTTTGCGTTATATGAAGTGAAATTTTTAATCACTGGCATTGGTGTCTTTTTATAGCTTCATTCACTGGAATGAACCATTATTTTCTTAAATGTTTTCAAAAAGCAGCATACCTGAGGGGTTGTCTTAAAACCGTGCAAAATACCTGGCTTTTAAAACTGGTTTATATCTCATTTTAGCAGTCATGATGGAATTCTGCAGCTAGCACAGTTCAGTTCTTCCTTCACCATTCCCTAATCACAGCATTGTTTCAGGTTGCCAGAACTAACTGAAATACTTGGTTTCTTTCCAAAGGTCTCAAGTTTCATTAGAGAACAGGCACATGAACAGGTCCAAATGATAGTTATTTCCCTGAAGGAAGAGTTTTACTGCAAGGCAGATGCATTGATTGGAGTGTGTCCTGAGGTAACAATTAATTGAGGGTAAATAATGCATGTGGGGTTGTTAAGTGCTGGGTCACAGCTGAAGCGTTGCTCCAGTGAACCAGGCACACAGTTGGTGGCTGGGTGTGTCCTGCTGTGCAGGTACCAGCTTTGGGGGGCATCCTCTGGGGCACTCGAGCTCATGAGTTCATCTCATAGTTACGAAAGGCTTATTTCAAGTACCAGAAGAGTGTTACATGCTCTGCTCCTCCCTCTCCTCAGCACAATGAGATCATGTTCAGCCAAGTCCTGACCCTGGATCTTACCGAGTACCCGGAGGGGGAAGAGCAGGACACAGCAGAGAAGCCCAGCCAAGGTTCTCTCTTCGAGTAGTGCATGGATGATATCAGGGCAGCTGACAACAGGAACTGGGTTCACAGCTGACTGTTACAAACCCGAGTTTGAATGTGGCTGTTAGAGGTTGACGGGGGAATGTTCGTTTTTCAAGTGAAGCAGTTTTGCAAAATATTAAGGGAATCAGCTGCTACTTTGATGCAGTTTTGTTAAGGAGTGAGAGCCCAAGGCTATTTTTGAGGTGTGCACTCTGATACCCAAAGCTTTTGTTCTAAATATTTTGTCTGTAAGAAGTGCTGCAGGTTCATTTCCATAAGTAGAGTATATAAGAACAAACCTCTTGTTTTTCTTAGGAAAAGTCCATAGTGTCAGCATTCTACCTCAGGTGCTCACTGCTCCAGTCAGGACGTTTTGTGTTGTAGCTGCATCTATTTGCCTTCAGAATAGGATTATTTCCTGTTTTCTAAAACAGTGAGGTACTGGCATGTGTTCATTATCTTGTTCATTATCAATCCTGTGGCAATCAGAAAGACTTCAGTTCTCCACTGCAACCTTACACAAGTGTTAGTTAACTGTACAAAAACTTGGGATGCAGCTCTAGAGCTGTTATGTAACCTTGAAAAATTTCACCTCTGAGCTATTTCACCTCGTACAGAACTGGAAAGAATGAGTCATGCTATAGAGGCAAATGAAATATATATATATAGATACATATATCTATATATATATATAAATGTAATGTTATTATATAGCTGTCCCACTACACTGAAGTTACTTTGCTGGCTGTTCTTCATCTAAGCAGATGGAAGTTAATCATCTAAGTTCATCTAGTTTTTCATCTAAGTTGGGTAAAGAAAACTGAAAGCTGGAATCACTTTATCTGTCTTATGTTCCACCTCTGTGTCCTGAAGTTCTTCCCTTAGTTTGTGGCTGTTAAAAATTTTATCTTGTGTTCACAGAGCAGGTTCCTTTTGTCTTGTTGGTTGCTTACACATGCCTACCTTGTCATGTGCTGTGAGTCCTGGGCTTGTGCTGGGCCTGTGAGGATCCTGCCTCAGGGAGGAAGACTGAGCAGGAGTGTTTTGTGTTTCACAGGAATACAGATGTTCATCAAATACTTGTGTTATTGCTACACATCATTGAATAAAATGAAGTGTATGGCATGAGTCCGCATCAGTGCCTTATTTCAGAATCTGGTAACATATTAGGAGATAAAACAACCCCTCACTCTTCTGCTTTTGAAGATACAATAGATAGCCCTCAAGACAGGAGGCTGCTGGACAAGCCACAGTTTTCACGTAATAAGGAGTTGCATGACTTTAGGGTTTAAATATGGTAGTAATGAGGGTCATAAATACCTCCATGCAAGTGATTTTGCTTGGCTTGAAACAGGTTGAAGCATTCTGAGCTGATCATCAGGCTCCACAAGAGCCTGACCAGCCACTTCCAAAGCAGCACTTTAGAGCAGCTGCAGGAGCTGTTGTGTAACGAGAGAGTAAAGACCTGCCAAACCACAGTTCAGACAGAAAGGTCTCCAGACCCACCCCTTGCCCTCCTGTAAAACCCCAGTACAACCTGACCTGCTCTCAGAAGGCATAACAGAAATCCTTAGGCCACAGCCACAGGGACACCTGACAGGAGCAGTCCTTCAGCCCTGTTGGGTGCACCTGTGATGATCAGCACAAAGAACAGCCCTGGACATGCTCTCCTGCAGCCACTGAGGTGAGAGCCACATGCTTTCCAGTGCTGGCAGCTGCAGTGAGAATTCCGTCTTGCTGCCAACATGATGCAGGTGGGGGAAATGCCAGGTACTGCTGGGCCTCACCTTCTCCTTGGAGCAGTTCAGCCAAAGGCAAACTTACACACCAGGAATTTCCTGCTGTCCAAGGCAGCAGGCAGCACGGTCTGTGATGTAGCAATATTTAAAACATTTCCACAGGAACCCACTACAAAGAGGTCAGGGAGTGCCAGCCCTGCAGATGCAGCACTGCTCCAGCCTTTTCTTCCCAGGTGATCTTGTGCCTTACTGGACAAAGGAAAAAACAAATCCTCATGCCTAAAGTGGAAAGCAGGTGGGTCATCATGCAGTGGGTTCTGTAAACGTGGAACAGCACTGTTCTTCAGGATGTGGGGATCAGACACTGAAGCCTGCAAGACCCCTGAAGAATTCAGAAACTCACCTGCTGTTCAGCTGAGGGGAGAACTGAAACCCCTCTATTTCAAAGGCACTTTTGACAGATTCAAATGTTGGGCAGCTTCACCTGGGGGAAGAGTTTGGTCCAAGTGGCTTCACATAGATGCAAAGAGAAGTTGCATCTGCTTCTGTCTAACCCTGCAGATCCTGCCTGAGTGGTCTGGCAGTGCCAGGGGAGTGACTAATTTGATTCTCAAGCTTTACACACTACACATTTATGGCTTTAGAAAACAGAAAATGTACAATTTTATTCTGCTCAAAATGTATGTACATTTTTATTCTGCTCAAAATCATTACAGTACCAGCTCAAAACTTTCCACACAGCTGATGTAAAACACCTGCTGTTAAAAAGCTTCTGGGGTGGGCCTTGGGTGTTTGGGGTTTTTTCATTCAAGAGTGGGCATATCTGACTGCTTGACCCTCTTGGGAGAATCAGTGCCACTTTCTCCTAACTTCCTTTTAGCACAGTCCACACATGATGTTCCTGCGGTGAGAGAAGGAAAAGAAAGCACATTATTATTGCTCATCTATGTGCTTGGTGTATTTTTTATTCTAAGCACCAGCTAGCAAGATAAACGCAATCCTGGTCCCCTGAGGTTCTCATATTTGCATTCTGAATTACATGTAACATTAACCCTGCTAAACATCTGGACTCAAGTCCTCCCCCAAAAGTGATCTCCAGTACTGACACAGCAGGGACTCTGCTCAGGATTCATCTGCCTTTTGCCAAAACTAATTTAACGCCTGTGAAGTTGACACATGAGTCTGGATCCCTTATTCAGCTTGAGCTAGAGGGTTGAAACAGACTACCCCAGTGGTCCCATCTTGAACCATTCCTGAAGTCTGCAACAAAAATCCTTGGTGTAAGTTGTGGTTGGAAGTACATAAACAGCATAACCAGAGTGTAATGTGAATGGAATACAAATTCCTTCCAAAGCAGAAGGTTGTGGGGTGTTGCACACAATAATCCTTTTCAGTTTTTTACTTGGTCTGTATTCTGAACTACAAGTAAACAGGTGCTAAAGCTACCTGAAGATGGTGCTAACCAATTAGTAAAGGAGGACTGTTAAGAGGGACTGGAATAAATTGTACTCAAGGTTCTGCTTTCTGTTCTGCCTAATTGTACTTTATTGGAATTGGGATTTATGAACTTAGTTGAGAGAAAGGCAAGTTTAAAATCCCACTGGAATTACAAAACTAATCTCCAGCTTTACACCTGCAGACAAGTGTCTTGGAGCTTGTTTGCTTTTTGATTGGGAAAGAGCAGTGTTTTCACCTCCTGCACTGCCAAAGGTCCTTACATGCAGTACTGAATGATACTTCTATACAATTTTGATGTTGGCTGCAGCAGCACAGATCTCTCAGCAGTGGAATCTTTTAAAGTTGTTTCACTATATCTTTTCCATCAATTGGGTTATTCACTTGGAATGCTGGGTTATTCACAGAAATATCACAAAGCAACCTGAACAGCTCAGCTGTAAAATCACCTTCAGTACCACACCCTTGAGATTCACTCTTTCTGACCCCCTTAAGGAAGGCTTTTGGAACAGAAACCTGTATTTGGAAATCTAAGCCAAAAATCTCCTTGATGTTAGCATATAAAAGCTCCAGAAAATGCATAAAAAAAGTTACTAGCATTCACCAGAGTACTCTAAGGTAATACTATCAATTGTCATTTGATGGACCTGAAAAGGCCATCAGTTACCTGCTGCTAGGCAGAAAGAAAACCAGAGAGTAAAAAAGAATATTCAGCAAACTTTCAGAGCTAGATCAGAGCTCTGCACAGTAATTACTTAATTACTTTGGAAAAGAGAGGGGTATTTTTCTTGTATTGGTAGGATTTTGGAACTTTCTGTGAAAATAAAAACGTTACTTACCCAACAGTGTTGTGCTGTCCACCTGATCAGCATCTAGAGAAGTGTAAGACACATCAGCAACACACATGAGCATCCAGGAACTTTTTATACTTTTATGCACCATCCCAAAGCCAGGTTGTATTTAGAATCCCAGAATGGTCTGGGTTGGAAGGGATGTTAAAGCTCATCCAGTTCCACCCTCCTGCCATAGGGGTTATGTTTCCTCTTATCCAGTCAGTGGGAACTTCCCCAGTTGACACAGTTTTTTAAATCATAAGCAACTCCATTCATGGTTTAGCAGATTGAGAACTCCAGCAGGACATGATTATCCAGCCCAGACTACTACCAACCCTGACTCAGGTCCAGCTGAGCCTCTCCTCGGTTGGGCTCTTTCACCTCTCCTAGGAAGTGGTCCTCAAGGTATTCCAGGATTCCTGGACTGTGGTTTGCTATGTTCCTTTTCCAGTGAGTGTCCAGGGGCCTGTAGTCCCCAGTCTGCATCAAGCTTACCATGGTTTTGCATTTCTCATTTCTTTAATATAACCCTTTTAACAAAATCCCCCTGCTTCATTTTAGAAGAGAGTTTGTAAATAGGCACAAAAAACCAAACCCTGACAGTTTGGTGATGTACAGAGCAGTTCTGCACACCTGAAAATGTTTTGTTTGGGATCTTGACTTGTAAATGGGATCAGGAGGTTTTAAAATCTGAGTAAGGTCCCTCTGCTTGCAAGTCTGATGCAAATCAGGCTACAGACAAACTTCCTGGAATCTCAGTGGTGTGATAAATATTTTTTTCTAACCTTCATGGAAAGAAAAACATAATGCAGTCTAATTGGAATAGTCATCAAGTCACAGAAAACAGGATATTAATTTGGACATGCACTTTTCAGGGAAAGGTTCCTCCTATGCACCACCTGGGAGTAATTTTAGACAAAACAGTTTCACTGAAATGATAAACAGAAGAGCTGTCAAATAGCAATTCTTCCCAAGGTAATTTAGTTATTTTCCTCTGTTCTCTGGATAAACCAAAACAGAACTGTCCTTGTTTGGAAAACATTAAAGGAATCTCTTTCCTTAGATATACAGTTGTTTTCTCTTCACAACCCTACGTGTACTAAACCAAATACTTACTGGATGCACTGATTTAATTTCCCATTCTATGCTCAGTCAGATATTGTGGCTCAACCAGCTTATCCCACCAGCTAATGCCTTCAATTCTCTTAGTCTCTTTTCCTGACAAATCAGATTTCTCACAATGTAATACTCAATAAGCTGAAGGAGTTCACATCATAAATATATGTTAAGTAAACATCTTTACCAAATACTAACAAAGAGACAAATCTGTAATTCAAGACTAAATTTGCAAGAATCCAAAGACCTCCAAAATTCACAGATTTCAAAAAAAAACCATCTAGTTACAGTTTGGCCACATGCTCCAACTCTGCATGTCCCTCACAAGCAACACGAGGTCAGTGCCTTGGATCAGCTGCAGTGTTCAGGCAGGGCGAAGTGCCCAGTACATGCTCCAGATTGTGGTGTTGAAGAGGCCACATTACCTGGACTTTTCTCTTTGCAGATTTGAGCAGTCAGATCCTGGACATATTCTGGGAATTGTTGGAAGCAGTCCCCATAGGACACTACTTTTATTCCATGCAGCAGCATATCTGCCTGGAGCTTAAAAAAGTGGTCTTCATTTTCTTTAAGCACCAACATGTAATGTTCTAGATCCACTTTGTTCTTTACTGTGTAAAGAAAAAGAGCTTGGAATATCTGGTCACGCAGAGTCTCTCCACAGCCCAAAAACAAAAAAGACTTGGTTCGGTACAAGTTCTGAAGAACCTCCTGTGAAGGATTAGAAAGAAACAACAGCCACATTTACTTCAGCAGACAAAAGCCAGGGTCAGAACTTTTAAAATAAATCAGCCAGAAAAGGACCAGCAGAGCAGAACCTCACTAGTGACCTGAAAAGAGCAAATGGTTTAGGACCAGGCCAAACTGACATTTGAAACCCATTGTTCCTACACAAAAAAAAAAAAAAAAAGGGCAAAATGCTCATACAAATATAGGAGTTGGAATAAGATGATCTTTAAGGTCCCTTCCAACCCAAGCCATTCCATGGAATTTAAATAGGCATGTAAGTGTTGCCAGCAAGGGAATTTAAATTGAAAGAATTAGGGTGACAGAATATTGCGTTCCTGTTAGGTCAGCCTCTAAATATGGAAAATTAATATTCCTGACCTGACTTACTATGACAGCTAAGACAACATTAAGTCCAGGATCCTGGTACCAATTTAAACCCCTAAGAAACCTAGCAATCATATGATGATGAATCCCTGTCCTGGAGTCCAGTATTTTGAGGCTCCTGTTCTTTCCAGAGATAAATACAAACTGTGACATCCAGCTGAGGGGTTTGGTTGTGATTTACACAGCCACTGTACCCAAGGGCACAGACTGCCCTTGAACAGAGCCATCTTCCTGAATAATTCTGAATAGTTCCTCTGGTCCCCAAGTGTTTAATCTGTATGATCCCACAGAGCCTCAGATTGCTTGTCTGCAGTGACTACAAGAAAATTGTTTGGCAAAACATAATCAAAATTTTAAAAGATCACACAAACCATGACTTCAGGATCTTGAGTAACATCTTTGTATCCCGAGGGGTCAAGCACCATTCCACAGGGATCTGTATATAAGCCGTGAATATGAAGAACTCCGTATTTTATATGGCCCCTTGCCCACTGAAGAACCTAAAGCATCATGCAAAATACATCCTTTTGTTATAATATACCACACTCACCATGAATCTGCAAAACTATACAGCTGAACTGACTTACAAACCACTTAAAGCGGAAAGAACTACCTCTGCCCTTTCCTACAGCAAGACATTGCAATTACTAATTACACAGCTCACTTTAAATCGTAACAAAGAGGTGATGGCTGATACTGCAGCTGTCTCTGGCTTTTTGGGTTAAACAGTCAACCATAAAGCAAGCTCCAGCAGCACTGGAAGAAAGGTATGAACAGCAAATTAACTACCAGCCTGGCAAAATTTTATTTGGAATTTTAACAATGACTTTACATAAGTTAAATCATTTGTGGGTTTCTCCAGTAAATGGCAGGGAACTGGTTGACAAACACATCACTGAAATTCTCCTTGGTAACTGTTAGCAGATTATTCAGAATAAAGAGATACATAAAAGAAATGTCTGGGCATCTGCTGTAACTTATAGACATGCTTTAACAATTAACAACTTTTAGTCCTGATTTTTTAAACAGGAAAACATCTTTCAGTGCAGCTTATGTCCAAGTTGTCATGAATTAAGTCTAATAATTTTACTGCTCTCATCGTACCTTATCCTTATCTTTAAGGTCTAAAGATTCCATAGGTTTACCCTGTTGCTGACCAAATATTTCAAGCAGGTTATCATAGTTTGTAGTCAGAACCATTGTGCCTCTCTCCATGAGCCTCAGGATGGATTGCAGAACCACAGGGTTCTGAATGTGTTGTTCTAAATTGTCGAACACCTCCATTAAACAATCCTGGAAGAAGTTGGGCTTCGTGTCCCCGGTACGCTGAGGAGAGAGGAGAGGAACATTCCATCAGGCCCATGTGCTCTGTTACAACTGCCTCCCACAGGAATCCCACACCCTCTGGCTACTTAATGCCAAAGCATTCCTGTAAAAGAGGGCTTGAACAGTACCAAAAGCAACCAAAACCACCCAAAACAAATCTCAGTTTGTTACAGTGTTCTTGCGTCTACTTAGTGTAGCTCCAAACAATTCTCTGTTTGGACATCAAACAAGGATTTCTCACGAGACCTTGTAATACAAGTACAATAGAGCAACACTTAAATTAGCTTACCCTGGATTCAGACACACCAGTATTTTATAGTATTCAGCTATTCAGTATATCCCTGGGATATAGTATTAAGAGGGATTGGGCGGGGGGGAGATGGGAAGCAGTTTCTGTTTTCATTCCTGGTTGAGAAAACTTTATTAATTATTAAATCCGCTATGAACACATGCAGATTTATTGTCACACTGGAGCTCTTGAGAGGTTCACCCCAGCCTACACTTACCACTATTTAAACTAGAAGGAAGACTTGGCAAAGGTCTTAACACCATTTGAAAACCTCTGGAAACTCAGATGGATGACTGAGACCAGGCATGCATGGGCTGTCCTCAGGGAAGCGTGATCTGCACTGCTGATTCACAACATGTGGCCCCAAGGCCATCACAGGCCCAAATAGAGCTAGAATTTCCTCCTTCCATCTCAAAAACATTACAACAAATATTTCATAGTCAGGACTCTTGTTTGCATTAATTCTGATGAATGCTAACTTATACTAAAACTTGGGGATTTTTTTAGCCTCCCCAAAATGTACAACACGCTGTACGCTTACTCACAAAATTCCCATTTTCACCATTAAAAAATCAACTCTTGGAAGAAATGTTCCCTTATAACAGAACAAAAGTACATAGTAGGCTTAGAAATTAACGGAGGTTATAAACATACTCACTGGTGACATCTTCCTGATGAGATCATGTGCAACCACAAGCAGGTCTCTCTCCTTCATTACTTTCTTACGGAATTCAGCGACATCCCCGGGGTGCAGCACCTCCAGCTGCTCGGCTGCTCCAAGGACAGCCTCAATGCAGCTCCTCCAGGAGCAGAGTGCTGGGATTCCCGGGGCTACTGCAGCACTCACCCCCGTCCCAATTACCAGGAGAAGGTCCCGAGGCTGCTTCCTTATGAGGCTTTTTAAGAATTTTCTTAAACACACAAAAGAAAAGCGTTCATTGTTCACGGCGCATTTCCTGGCCTGCCTGAAGAGCTCAGGGACTGACTCCAGAAGCTCACCTGAGCCATTAAAGCTCTGCAAAACACCAACAAACCAGCAGGATCTGTTCCTACAGTTCTCCATTCCTACACAACAGGATGAGATGGGAGCCACAGAAGCTCATGGCTTCCCCCAAACCAACAATAGCCTTCATTCCTATTTGCCGTGCCAGACAAATAAATGTGCATGGTTAATGCCAGGCAAAAAAAGTCAACAACTTCAAATCACTACTGTCTCTTAGATCCAAATAGACAATTGCCAATTTCCAGGCTGCTGGGCAAGCCAAACACCATTTCCAATGAAATTTTGAAAAAAAGTAGGCAAAAGATTGTCCAATGACTGAACTAATACTTATGTGATAGAAAGGAGGTAGAACTATTTCAAATGGACAAGTCACACTATTCCAAGAAAACAAACTTTTGGCTTTTTTCTGGGAAGAAGTGGAATATTTTATTCTGATTTATGATCACTGTAGGATATGTGAACATAGCAGTCATGCTGGTTCAGATCAAGGGTTCATCCAACTCACTGTTTTGACATTACTACCCACAGATCCCTCTCAGAGGAGTGTTGGTGTTACATCCATAGTCTCTGCATAAACCAGCACAGAGGAGTGTGAGGAAAATCTGTCTTTCATGTTTACTCAGCAAATAAGTGAAAATGCATATAAACCATACAGCAAAATCACTCTGTACAAACAAAGATTTCAGTAGTACAGAAACTCAGAACTCCTCTGACTTTCCAAACTACCTTTACAGACTTTCAGTTCCTAGTAACATGGTAATAAAGATGATTAATCTTATTTCACAATCATATCAAACTATATAGGTCAAACTATAATGTTAAACTTGAAATGGCCTCAGGCAAAGCAATAAACATGTAGGTATGGCTGCCAGCCAGTGCCTACAAATAAAATATGTTTGATGGCCCCATACCTCCCTGGTACATTTAGCCCAAATTGTTTCCTCCTCATAAACAACTTGAGTGAGCATGAAATACTTGGTCAGGGAACAAACTAGCTTCTGGGATAATTTCATGTTTTCTGGCATGATGTTGCTCTTGTATTCAATGTTCAGTAGTTTATTTCCACTGTGGTTTCAGATTTTCATTAAGAGACAGTTTTGTATCAACTCTAAGACAAGTTACCTGAATTTTTGCTCACTTCTAATGGTGGCCCCTTCTGGTGAATCCATCTCTGAGCCCTGAATAAAACAAAAGGCAAAATAATTCTTACTGCTTCTATCCTAGAAAAAGCCAAAACCAAAATCAGATGTATTACTGCTATTCTTTTCTCTTTATTCCTACCAACTGTTTTAATATCAAGGCTCCATGTGTCACTCATCCATGTGTCACTCATCCATGTGTCATTCATCCCAGTGAAGCAAGACAGTGATGGAAACAAACCTGCCAAAGGACAAGTGTGCAAACCCAGCACACTCCAGTTAAGCTTCCAAATGCCATAGGACAGAGGTAAGAGAGACAGCTAAAAAATACTTGTGCCTAAATTCAGGATAAAATGTATCACACTCACATAAAACTACAAGTCATTTCAAGTCAATTAATGAGTTTCTTGGTTTTATTTTTTTCATAATAATCAATTTATTCAATCCACTTTGTGGAAAACCAGACTTCCACATCACACCTGCTCACAAAAAGCCCTCTGAGAGCCACCTAGCTACATGGCCAGGGTATGAGAGACTTTATTTGAAACACTTGCTGAGAAAAAAATAACTTATTTCTGTATCATCTATTATGTCTTATGTCTGAAGTACAAGAAAGACACTGTCTTGCCAGGAGAACTGTCTTTGGGATCATTACTTGGAAACCCCCAAATTTCATTACATTTATTTTTTTATGAGAATGTCATTTTTGTTTGGCTTTGAGACACAATTTTTGGTGATGGTGATGGCAAACTGCAGTCCCTAATCCCTCAAATAAACATTGTGCCAGAGCTGAGGGCTCCTAAAGTAGTTGCCAGCTCTCGCATTCATGTGCTGGAAGGTAATTTGGAAACAAGAAGCTCCGAGTTTGGAAATTATTTGACTAACAATAAAACCCAAACCAACAAAAAAACAAACAAGAAAAGCAAACCACCCCTAGACCACCCCCCCCCAAAAAAATTAAAACCCACAAAAAAACCCCAACCAACCATCTCCAACCCAAAAAAAAAAAGCCAAAACTATCTCCCCCCCCAAAAAACCAAACAAACAAACAAACCCACCCCCCCAAAAGAAAAAAAAAACAACAAGAAAAACAGAGATGTCTTCAGCAAATACACCCAGGATGTCTTTTAAGGCAGAAAAATCTTTTCTTCTTGTAATATTTTTCTCCCTTCCCTGACCAACAGTTTCCTATGGAGGTGCCCCACTGTTAACATTAGCATATCCAAAAATCAGGACAATAATCTCTCTAGGGCAAAGCATTCAAAATCACACAAGACCATCAAGGCTGGCAGAAACCTTCCAGATCACCAAGGCCACCTACCCAGTGCCACCATAATCACCCCTAAAACATGTGCCCTTCACACACAGGAACATTATGAGTGCACAATAAAAAACAACACAGGAAGGAAGCGCAACTTACTTCTGTGGAAAAGATAGTTCTTGTTTTATAGCCCAATTTTCTCCCTCTCAGGATTTTTCATAGAGGTGCACAGAGGGAAATGAAAGAGAAAACAATTTCTATTTCTGCTCCTTGTTTTTCCTATGTGGAATGTGTTTGGAGAATTGTTTACCTGGGGTGAGTGCTTGGTTGGATTCTGGGGAGGATTGTTTGAGCCTGATGGCCAATCCAATCTACCTGGAGCTGGACTCTCCAGAGAGGGTCACGAGTTGTGGGAGAATCAGAGTCAGAGAAAGTAGTATGTAGTTTTAGTATGCTCCTTTTATATAATATATTCATGTATTTTAGCATAGTTATAATAAAGAAGTAATTCAGCCTTCTGAATTGAGTCAGACATTGTCATTTCTTCCCATTGGGTTCGCCTGCATTTACAGTACCATTCAAGAAAGCTTTATTAATCACAATTCCCCACGTTTAATAAGAACATCTCACCGCGGGCTGTTGTCAATACGAACATTTCAGACCTCGCTGCTTCCTCTGAGCTACTGAAGTCGCTCCTGGAAGGCGCAGCCGGGCAGGGCAGAGGGATCCGCGCTCCTCACAGAGGGGGATGGAGCTCAGATCTCCCCGCGGCCCGAGCACTGCCAGCGGCTCCGGAGCATCCTCGGGGGCTGCCCGCACCTCTGCTCAGCTGCTTCCCACAAGGGCTGAAGTGGGAGCCCGCCGTGATCCAGGGATGTCCGGCGATGGGAGCTGGCTCCTTACTCCCAGCACAACGAGGGGACACGGGAAAAACTTCTAATGTCGCATCTGTCCTCCTCAACACACTCCGGTTTTATGGGCGAAATAAGAGCTCTATTCACCGACTGAAACTCCAGGTCAGCGGGCTGACTCGACGAAGCGAGTGCTTCCAGATACTTTCATATCTGAAAACACCTTAAAACGTTCAACCCAAAGGCAGCGGCGGGGAAAGGAATGCCTCGTCCTGAGCCCGCCAGCTCCCTCCGAGAAGAGGCACGCCGGGAGCAGTAGCAGAGCAGGGGCAGGAACGGGGGCAGGAGCCGGAGACGGAACGGGAGCAGGAGCAGAAACAGAAGAAGGAGCAGGAGCCGGAACAGGAGCAGAGCAGGAGCAGAGCAGGAGCAGGATCGGGAGCCGAAGCCGAGCCGGAGCTGGAGCTGGAGCTGGAGCACAGCCACCGCTGCCGCTCCCCGTTCCCTGCCGGCTTCCGGTAGCGACCCGGACGGGCTCCAGGCTCCAGGCTGTCGCCGCCGGGAAACAGGCGCCTCGCCGCCGAGGTTCCGGCAGCTCCGAAGGGCAGATTGCGATCAGAACCTGCTCCCGGACCGGGGCCGGTCCGCTCAAAGCCCCGAGAGGGTGCCCCGGGTCCCGGCCCAGGAGCGGGCACGGCAGCGGCGGCGGCGCTGAAAGCCCTGAGGGGCAGGAGCGCCCGGCACGGGGCTGGCGCGGCACCCTCAGCGCTCGGCTGCGGGAGAAAGCGCCTGGAAAGCCGCAGATTTAGCAGCTAGCGCTCTGAAAACGGGCTGGCGATGGAGGTGCTGGAGAGGAAAAACATTGAGGTAGGGAAAATATAAAACAAAACGAGATTTTTAAAAAGCGCGGTCGGCAGCGTTACCTTGGACGGCTCTACTGAGGGCACGGCGGGGGCGGCTGAGGCACCGTCAGGCGCGATGCTGTGGGGTGGTTTTTTTTGTTTTTGTTTTCTTTTTTTGTTTTTTGTGTTTTTTTTTGTTGTTGTTGTTGTTGGGTTTTTTTTGGTGGGGTTTTTTTGTTTGGGTTTTTTTTGGTTGTTTTGGTTTTTTTTTTTGGTTTTTTTTTTTTGGTGTGAAAACCTCATATTTTATGATTGGCTGTTGGCAAACGTTACGATGAATACCTGTATGTGTAATGTTAGAAAGTTGTGCTGTATTAATCCTCTCGAGAGACGTGTTAAATATGTTTTTTAGGTTATAACACAGTGTTCAAGTAGAAACTATGCTGTGTAAGATGCTTTTTAACTAGCTCAAGAAAGAGATGAGATAATCAAGGAATTCTTTGCACAGAGATAACAGCAACACGAACCCTGAAGAGTTATAGATTCCTTATCAGAAAAAACAAACATTCTTCCACCTTCTCTCCGTCTTTATGGAACCACCAGTTTTAAAGGGCAGGAGCTGACAAAATCCAGAATAAAATTCTGAATTTTCAAGGAATTTATGCATCATGTATGAGATATATGAATATGCAACAGGCTATTGCTTTTAAGGGTTATTCCTTTGTTCACAAGGCATGGTTTTGGCAGCTTAGTGTCCAAAAACATCCAGACATCCATAATGCTTTGCTTTTTATTGTCTTGTAATTGTCCTAACTCTAAAATTTTGTTACTCTAATTGTATTACTATACACTGTAATCACACTGAAGATATGTTTGTTCACATCCTTTAAATCCAGACAAGCTTCCTTGACTTTTGTGGAGTTTATATTGATTTACACAAATGTAAGTAAGGATGAAATCTTGTCCTAATTTAGGACCCATCTGCCAGCACAGGTCGTGCTGAGAGAGTTTATTGCCATGTATATTCCTATAACATCATATCATAGTGCAAATCCATAGTGAAGCAAATCAGGGATCAACAGATAATGCTGACTTTTATATTTCCTGTCTTCTTAGTATCTGAGCTGGAACCTCACTGTAATGTTCTTGTAAACCTTTTGCTATGGATTTATGTAAATTTGCTTACATTAAGATAGAAACCTTGCAGTAGATTTCTGTAAGACATTCTGTTTTCTTCAGCCTCTAGTTAAACCATTTATTCTCACTCACATTCAGTAACTTATAATAAATTACCTTTTTTTATATTAATCTTGAGCATAGTTACATAAATGCTCTCATTCAGAGGAATTTAAATCAGATAGTGACTGCTGTATTAACTCAGCTCCTTGTTGTTTAACAATATAGCTAAAATATAAAACTGGACTTGTAAATACAAGGAATTCTTTCTTAACCTGCACAGGAATTCTTCTGACTCTGGCATCCTGTGGTGGCCAGTGCTTGTATCTGTTCCAGCTAACAGGTGAGGAGAAACTGAGTGAAAAGGAACAATTTACTACAAAGAGATTGAAACCTTGGGAAATACCTGTTAATCAAACCATTTTACTATCCTATCTTTCCACAAAAATCAGGACTGAAACTTAGGTGAAACTACCTGTAGGTGTCTGATTTTTCTCCAAAAGAAATTTCACTTCAGAAGGAAACTGCTGTGCCCTATGCCCTCTAGCATGCCTTAAGAGAAATGAAGCATTGCACCATGTTTACAGCTTCGATTAACATCACCAAGACACCACAGAGGGGTGAAGTGTCAAACATGTCCCTCTACAATTACCTGAATAAGACACTTTAGAAACTGCTGGGATTGATTTCTGAATAAGCAGCTGCTGCTTGAAATCCAGACTAATATAAAAACACCTAAACTTGTTTTATGCAGTTAGGACTTGTTTCATGTGTTAGGATTAGATTAGGTTGATCCTCGATTTTCCTGTGGGAATTGACAGTTCTATTGCTGGAAGATGCACTGGAG